GCTGACAGTATCCCAAATTAAACAACTGGATTGACGATATCATGTCGGGGAAACTTGTACATTCACGCCGGCAACACGTTCAGCAGCTGTATGACATGCATGTCATACGGGTTCTAAAGGTATTTAAGGGAAATGAACTTCTAGGCAGTAGCGTAGATACAAATAGTGCCAATAGAAAAGTCATTGGTATGTTCATGAATTGGCAAGTTTATAGTCAATACATGTACATGAATGTTTTATTGATGTTGAAAAGGAAATGCCTTGACATGTTTAAAAGCCAATGGAGTGGAGATAAATGATTATCAGTAAAAATATTCTTGTGTTTGATCTCATAAAAACCGAGGTGACAATTCACAAAGAAAGCTCACACGTTTCAATAACGACTTAATATCGGGTGTAACCTCGTTGACCTGAATACCACATGGACAATGCCGTCGAAAGATTCCCACATTGTTCAGTGTAACAACTCGTGGAATTTCATTCGTTCAGTAAAACATCTGCTAGATTCCGCAACGTGGCTTGATCATCCGGTCTGTCAGCAATCCACCCCTGGAGAAAATACCCAGCATGTTTAATCAGTTTAAAGTGTCAGCCAAACTAATAACAAACAAATGTTGAGATCCACCAAGAAAATTCCCTGTTCAAGCTTAAGTTGTTGCATACCACCAATAAACCTGCTGCGCTGCCGGTCTCTTCGGTTGTAAATATCGCTTCAGTGTCAACACTGTCGTGCAGTAAATGTGACTTGGTTGATTCATGTCACCGTATTCTGTTACGAGTCGATCCCAAATTCCGAAAGTCAGCTAAGCCAGAATTATGTACGTAACAAACAACCTGCAAATGGCATACAATCAACAATGGCATACAATTAACTGGGTTTACAAATCAATACCAATTACTGGACATCAGTGACAATGGTAGTATGCAATAGAGTGGTAGTACAATATTCAAGGCAGTATCAAATACAAAATATGATGGCAGTGGTGGTGGCAAAAGTTTCCCTTGTAATACTATACACCTCTCTGCAACAGTAGTTATGCTTCCGAGATAGGCCTAGGCTGGGAATCTGGGTGATAAGTAGTTTTCACACCACCGCTGGTCTTGAAGTAATGTCAGATGAAATGTGAAATGAGACAGGCAAGCGCCCGCACCACTTATTGTTGTCTAACTAGCTTCCAGCACTTTTCACACAGTGCTGGACCAGTCCAGTGTCACTAGAACATCACAGAATATTCCACATGTTTCTGTTACGCTTGACATCCATCCATCCGTAAGTTTACAGATAATTCGAGCATCTAAATATAATAATTACCTTACCACTGCTTAAATTAAATAGTACCACATTCCTGACAACTAACCGTTGTTCAAATACAATGCAATGAACTTCTACTGAATCTCAAGAGAAACAATGTATAGCAGTCATTGTTTAGCAATAAGTTACACTGCCATATATCAATCCCAATTACGTAGATTAATGCTCATGATGACAATCACGACATTGTCTGGTCCAGACTTGCTTATTTATAGGACACTGTCATACAGATGAAAACCTGTGAGTGCGGGTTAAATAACCAACAAACAATAGTATGAATGAATAAATCGTTATCAAATTGTAAAGTGGCTTTTTCAAGAACATTTTTTTTAAACTGCCATGGAACAAACAACTTTCAGCAGCGTTGGAAATGTCATGTACTGTGATTGGGACGTGTAAAGGCTGTCACTGCAAAACAATCTTAGTTATAGATATGCATGCATATTGCTTCTAAACACGAAATGCATGAGAATGGTATGTATCACAACCTTGTATATACATGTAGACAACATCTCCGAAGTCACATATTGACAACACATACATTTTTTTCATATGCTTACATATCGTACGGATTATTCAATTTGTTGTTGAGTACAAATGGAAAATATGCTGTGCTTGCACTGCTAGCGGTGCCTATTGTACGCTTTCCGCGAGCTGACTACCAGAAATAATGAACTACCACTGTTGGTGAGTGAATGAGTGAGTGAGTGAGTGAGGTTTTAAGCCGCTTTTAGCAGTATTCCAGCAATATCCCGTCGGGGGACACCAGAAGTGGGCTTCACACATTGTACCCATGTCGGGAATAGAACCCGGGACTTCGGTGGGACAAGCGAACGCTTTAACCAGGTAGGCTACCCGACCGGCCCCATCACTGTGGCGTTCGAAAGTAAATGAAATATATAATTGATAATAAGGAGTTAACCGTTTCAACCTTCCTCAATTTATTATAGTTGTGGTGGTGTGGTTATGTGGTGGCACTTGATCCTGTGCACAGCGCACATATCACAGTTCATGTGAATTAAACAACACTGGTCGCAGTGTGTAAGTTGGTGACGGAGTATAACATTGACATGACTTGGAGTTTCTGGGGCTTCGGTTCTGCCCGACACTGAAATGGCATGTCTCCAAATGTAGCACATGTTGTGTATCATTATGTACTTGACTTTGATCGAAAAATGCATCTGTTCACCCATCTGCGAATGGGTACCTGGTAGGATAGATAATAATATGACCGTAAACCTTGTAGCACCTTCATAGATACTTGAGGTGTCTACTCCTCAGAGAGTTGAGATTGACCTTCGAGAGCACACTGGTCCATTGACAGGAATAATACTGGTGACATAATTATCATGATTATGATTATGATTATTATTATTATTTCAATAAAAAATGAAGCAAAGACGGTTTGGGTGATTCTAACACAATCAGGCTGGTTAGGCTCATCATTAGCTCAGGGGCCTTGCCCCTCAACACGCGCTGCCTAGTCAAACCCACCAAGAACTTTTCGGAGAATGTGAAGACTCCCCAATACTCCAGGCTTCTGCATTACCCCGATTGTCTGAAGGGCTGTATTCCTGGTAGCAAACCCGGGTACTCTCCAAATGTCAACAGATTGGGAGGTGCCAAACCTAAGGCACCGAGAACAATAGGGGCTCGGACAACTTGGTACTTGGGATGCAAGCGTGATCGAGCTACACCATTATGTCGTTTAAGATAATGGGTTTGTGCCAAAGATGGGCATCCACTGACAAAGTGTTGGACAGTCTCATTATATTCATTACATAATCTGCATTTCATATTCACAATTTGATGCAAAATCACACATTGACGGTTTCGAGTGGGAAGTGACTTGTCCTGAGCAGCAAACAAAAAGCCTTCTGTTACACTTTTCAGGCAAGACGACCTCAACCAAGCAAAGGACTCTGCAGGGTTGCAGATCTTCTCAAAACACTGCACATAAACTCGATGCAGTGGTCGTTCTGATAGCCTCTCTTTTGAAAACTGAGTCTGGGTTGACTTGATATGGCACTTCGTTTGGGTGACACTCATTTCTGTACCGTCCAGCAGAACAGAACCATCAACAAAATCAACACCGACATTGAGATTACGTCCCACATCCTTGGCTCGTTTTAGAAAACTGTGGAATGCCTTGTTTTCATCATGAGTCTTGACATGCTTCACAAGAGGATCATCAGACAAGTAAATGTGCGCAAAAGTGAACAAAACAATTCTATCATGAAGAGCCTCAACGTTAATCAAAACACGTCCTCCCATAATGATTGGTAAATATAAGCAATTGAGGGAAGAGCGAGGGTGGAGGGATCTATTGTCTGACATGATTCTTCGTGTGAGGGTGTCAATACCCAGAATATCTTCTTTCGTCCAATCAACAACACCAAAGGAATATGAAAGGACGGGTACAACATAAGTATTCGTGGTTTTAACTTTATTGCGAACGTTCATCTCTGAACTCCACATTTTCTTAAGTCTACATTTGTACTCTGCCCGAAGTTTGTCCTTGATATGGGCATTCTGGAGTTTGTCCCGAATCTGCATCCGTAAGTTCGTATAGGACTGACCTGCCACGAGATGGTCAATAACTCCTCCTCCAAATAAACTGACTGATCCTCCCTCTTCTACCTTGCCACGTTTCAGATGAAGAATGTTGCATTTGTCGAGTCCAAAGGACATGCCGATATCA